GGAAATTTATGCACTTATGCAAGAGATTATTTGGATCTTTGGCTTGCTTGATTTTTGTTCCATATATATTTTGAGTATCACTGTACCTTGGTAACACTGGAAGCGGGAAGGCGCGGAGAGGTAGAGATGGAGGGAAAGCGAATTGAGCAAGCCACAGCTATTTCATTTGAGAATCCCGCATTCGTAGTCAGTGGCCTGAAAAAGGTGGAATGATGACCCATCTTTAAGTGCAGAAAAGGAAGACCTGACCCTTTGACTTTTGGACTGTCCACCTTCCAACAATGTGATTGTAGAACAGGGGAAACATAGTTACTGACAAGGTGACTGACACTTGACAACTTGGAGGTGGGAGGCGAGAGAATAGGACTTTTAAGCACCCCTTCGCGTAAGACATCCACCGTAAGGTATTAAGCACATGCTTTTGCCTTAAATATATTCACTGATTCATCACCATAAATAACTTATTTAAGTCGGTAAAGCACCACCTTTGTTATGTCTCAGACTGAATACCAAATAGTCCGGCGACTCCCTTCCTTTTATCGCCTTTAATTAATGTGTTTTTAAACTTTTTCCTTTCTAAAATAACTCAAACGCTAAGAGGTGGAATTTTGGATACGAAATTCAAAGAGACTACTTCCTGTCTCGCCACGGTGAAAACATCAGTGAGTGTCTGGGAAACACCACCTAACACGCTTCAAAGCAACACTAAAAATATCACTTACGTTTTTGAAAAAAAATATGTAATTATAAAACCCTATAATACGTTAAAAATGCAATTATTCATAAGAAGGTGGAATTTTAACTTAACAAATGAGCTATTACAGGATGACAATTGACAAGTCGTCTGAATGACAAAAAAAGTTGGTCTCACAAAAGGGAAGTGAAATTAGGCTTGGCTAGTTTATTTCTCACAATTTCTGCTAGTGGCAGCGTCTCTCCTGAGAGGTGACAAATACATAAAAGTCAGCAAAGATACATACCTTGAAAATGCGGTATCCCTTTCGGAAGAAAAGTTGATGCTGACATATTATTTCTCAAAAAGGCATCCCATACGTTACTCCTCCTACCATCTTCTATGGTCTCCAACTGTTTCTCAATTAATTTTTCACTTTCTGTCACTTTATAGACACCCACGTGACATCCTCCTTAGGAGTAAAAAGGGGGGGGGGGGACACGGAGTTAATAAAAAGCAATTCCTTT